CCTGTAATCCTAGATCTTGGCGAGCCGAGGGCGATTGCTAAGTCAGAGTCAAAAACCAGCCTGACAAGAGCGAGACCCCGTTCTTACTATTAAATAGAAAGAAATAATGCCAATTTGGTATATATATAAAATAGTAGCCGTGAGTCGGATGCTGTAGTCCAGCTACTCGGGAGCTGATGCAGAAGCGGCTCAGCCAGGAGTTGAGTGCTGGGAGTAGCTGACGCCATCACCATCCTAGCGACAACAAAGGCGAACATCTGTCGCAAAAGAAAAAAAAAAAATCTAAAGGTCTTACAACACAGGACCACATTCCTACATGGCAACAACCAGCTAACATGGGCAATAGCTACCCCCTTTAGCCCAGCCACTGCATGTATTTCTATTTGTCACTTCCTATCAGCTTGCCCATGCTGGATCAAGTTCAGCTGCTATATGTCATTTCAGTTGGGTGTTATTTTATTTATGGTAACAAAGAAAGTGAAATACTATATTCCACATACTAGAGTTACTATCAAAAGTGAAAAAACCAGTATAACCACTTTGGAAAACTCTCAACATCTACCAAGGCTGATATACGCATAACTTATGAAGCCAGCAATTCCACTCCCAGGTAAATACTCAGGAAAAATGTGTACACGTGTTCCAAAAGATGTACAAAACATTCACAGTGATGCTACTGACAGCCCCAAACTGGCTACTAACAAATTAGCAATAATGCCCACCAACAAATTAAATGTGGTACATTCATAGGGATCAATCTCACAGATAATGCTATACACAGGAATCCAGACACGAAAGAATATGCGCTGTATGATTCCACTTATATATAGTTCAAAAGCAGATGAACTAAAATGTGGTTAGAAGTCAGGTGACTGGTTACCACTGGGTAGAAGAGGACATGGGCTGGGGGTGGGGTTCTGACATGCTGTTCTGTGACCTGCGTACTGCTTACACATTATGTGTACGCTTGAAAATTAGCTGTACATTTATGATTTGTACACTTCAACAGCTAGATTAGAAAAAAATTTTAAAAAGAGGCAAAACCAAACCAAGGCGGCCATATTTCAAGACATTTCCTACACTGACATGTTTAATGTGACCAAAAGAATGGTTGCCACTACGAAACAAACCATAAAACTATGGGTGGAATCTGAAAAAGATTAACACCTGATGAGCTAGGAAAAAAGGACCCAATATACAACACTTAGCCTACTTCACTCATCTGCATTACCTACCCCTGTGGGCTTTGGGGCTTGCAACCATTGACATAGGAATCCAAGCCTTGTCTATAAATTTTACCAGGATTTCTCAGGCTGAAGATACTGGGTAGGTGTAGTGGCCCTTAAAAAATCAGTTACTTTCCTAATGTTCATCTACCAGATGGGGTTGAGAATGGCCACTGGAGAGGGCTGTTTAGGAGAACTGAAGAAAATGTCTTTAAATCCTTAAAATAGAACCAGAGAGAAAGCAAGCACATAATAGATTAATTAGTACTTTATAGCAGTATTACTAATGATTGCAAAGTATTTTTAAGAATTAGAAGTGCCCCAGAGTTTGGACGTTGCTCACAGCACAGCCTAGTAACACCTAATGGGGTGATTCTGAAGGGGGCAGAGGCGATAAATTGAAGGGAGACGGGACGGGGAAGGCTTCATCCAGCTAAATATTCTGACACTTAGATTTTGACCTGCCCTTGGATCCTTCAGCAGGCAGGTCCCCTTCATTTTCAGAATACAGTTGACCCTTGAACACAGGCCTGAACTGCCTGGGTTCACTTATATGCAGGTTTTTTCCAATAAAAGTTACACAGTGTTTGCCTCCCCTTCTTCCTCAGCCCACTCAACGTGAAGGTTGATGATGAGGATGATGACCTTTATGATGAGCCACTTCCATTTAAATGAACAGTCAATATATTCTCTCATGATTATCTCAACATTTTTTCTCTAGCTTATTGTAAGAATACAGTATATAATACATATAACATGCAAAATATGTGTTAACCAACTGTTAATGTTATCGCTAAGGTTTCTGGTCAATAGTAGGCTATTAGTTGTTAAGTTTTGGAGGGTCAAAATTTATAGGCAGATCTTTGACTGGGGGGCAGGTCAGGACCCCTAACCCTCACATTGTTCAAAGGACAACTGTACTTGATTTACTTCTCCACTATTTTTGGTACCCATGCCTCCCTTAGAAGTGTTACCGCTGAAAAGCATTGAGAATGAGGACCTTAAACCACAGGCGGCTAGATAGTAGTGTACAATGTCTGAAACTTGCTTGATCTTTCCAATCATATTTCTGGACCCCTCCCCTGGCAACTGAGTCAGCAGCAGGTCTGGGGAGGGCCCACCTGTATTTTAAAAAGGCCTCAAGTGCTTATTTTTTTTCAGGTTATAAAAGAATATTTAATGGTGCAGAAATATATTTAGGAAATACTTTCAGTGAACACAGTATGCCCAGTATGAGCCAAAATTTCCATATAAAAATGACTGTAAGGATATACCCAAAATGTCAATAGTAATTATCTATTAGGTGTGAGAACCTGTGTAGGTTTTATTTTCTTCTTTGTCCTTCCTTTGTAACTGATAGAGGGCAACTTTGTTCAACCTCCCTCAGCTGCATGTGTAATATTTCCAAGCCCTCTTTCATCTGTTTTAAAGACTTTTCCATTTCAGCTCTGCTTTCAATATTTAAAAGCTCTTTATCTTCTGGCACAATTTGCTTTTCAGAGGACTTTAAAATATAACTTTCGACGGCTTTAACACTGAAGCAAAACAAGTCCCTCTTATAATCAAGATGCTTGGGGCAGAGCGCAGTGGCTCACACCTGTAATCCTAGCACTCTGGGAGGCTGAGGTGGGAGGATGGCTCAAGGTCAGGAATTTAAAACCAACCTCAGCAGGAGTGAGACTCCGTCTCTACTAAAAATAGAAAGAAATTAATTGGCAAACTAAAAATATATATAGAAAAAATTAGCCAGGCATGGTAGCACATGCCTGTAGTCCCAGCTACTCGGGAGGCTGGGGCAGAAGGATTGCTTGAGTCCAGGAATTTGAGGTTGCTGTGAGCTATACTGATGCCACGGCACTCTAGCCCAGGCAAGAGTGAGAATCTGTCTCAAAAAAAAAAAAAAAAAGAAAAAGAAAAAAAAATGCTTGGACGTGCATCTATATATGTAGCCAAGATTGAGTGAGCACCCTGTGCAGTACAAAGTCTCAAGAATGCAATACTTATCCTTTTCATGTGTGGATAGTTTCTGTTCCTTGTCCACAGAAACATTACAGGAAACAGCGCAGCAGGACGCAGTTAGTGTCCTGGCTGGTCACCCTGCTCAACGAGTCGCCCAGCAGCCACCACACAAAAACGCCAGCGGCATCTCCTCTGCCACCGCTGGCCCCTCCAGCCGAGCCCTGTGCCGCCCACCAACACGTCCTGGTCTGTGTACCTCCACATGCTCGCCCACCTCTGCAGCAGCTGGTGGCAGCTCAAGTCCTCAGAGAGCCGCCTGCGCAACAGCAAGGAGTCACCGCACTTGCCCCATCACCACACGTTCAGCTGACAGAGGATCCTCTGCAACAACCCAGCAACCAAGCACCCACACTACCTACAAATCTTCCGTGCCCCCCTCAGGTGCTTCTTATGCCAATTCAAGTTTTCACTTGGTGAAATTTAAAGCCTAAAACACCTGAGCCCAAATTCAATACCCAGAATTTATCCGCTGGGTAATCATGGGCAAATGACAGAAAATCTTTTTCTTCATTTGCAAAGAGTCAAAATCTATCTCACAGGATTGTTGTACTAGAATTAAGGCAGAGCATGGACCAGCCACTTCGTAAAAAACTTTGTAAAAACTGAAATAGTAGCTAGTTATTTGATAAAACTACATATTACACAAAATATGCAATTATTTATTGAAACAACTTGCCACTTAAAGAATTATTCCCAGTTGGAAACCTGTAGGGGTTTCCTTTGAGCCTAATTTAAATCAAATTCTGGAAGGCTGAGGCAGGAAGATCACTTGAGCTCAGGAGTTCCAGACCAGCCTGATCAAGAGCAAGACTCTGTCTCTACAAAAAATAGAAAAAATTAGTAGGGCATGGTGAAGCACACCCGCAGTCCTAGCTACTAGGGAGGCTGAGGCAGGACGATCACTTGAGCCCAGGAATTTGAGATTGTAGTGAGCTATGATGAGGCCACTGCATTCCAGCCAGGGTGACAGAGCGAGACTGTCTCCAAAAAAAAAAAAAAAAAAAAAAAGTTGTAAAACAAACTGCTAAAACCAGCTGTTTTTTCCTAACTCTTAACCTGGGAGTCATGGATGCATTTCGGGGGACCTTGATTTTACCAACTTTGTGAAGGGGGCTATTTTTAGTAGAGAGAGAATCCGAAGATTCTCCAAGGGATCCGTGCTGCACAAAAAGATAAAAAAAAAACAAAAAAAAAAAACTCCACACTACTGATGGTATCCAAAGGACTTTTCCTCCTCTTCTTCCCTTTTTACTAATTTTTTAAAAATACATGCAGTTAGAAAAATTAAATAGTACAAACAGTATAAAAAGAAAAGCTAAAATTCCTTCCTATCAATTACCTGGGTCCTCCTTTTCAAAAGCAACCTTTGTTAAAAGCTTAAGGTATCCTCCAAGAGTAGGATTTGTCAACCTCATACTTATTCACGTTCTGGGTTGGATAATTTTTTGTGGATGTTGTCCTGTGCACTGTAGAATGTCCATGAGCACGCCTGACCTCTACCTATTATATGCCCAGCAGCACACACACATTCGTTGAGGCACCTCAACATGTCAAATTTGGGGACAAAAATCGCTCCCGGTTGAAAACCACTGCTTCCAGAGATACCCTAACTATGCACAAACACAGGTGTGTGTATGTCTACCCATTTTCTCCGACAACTGGTGGCACAGGGAGTTATTTTCCAACTTATTGCGAGGATTTGCGTTGGGGGTCGGGGGCCGGCCAGGGCCTGGGCAGAAGGCGACGGCCACTCACCAGGTCGCGGATGAGCTGGTCCACCAGCTGCTCTCCGCCCCCAGCGCCGCCCTCGCGAGCCGGAGGAGAGCGGGAGCGGCTCGCCGCGTCCTGCCTCTCGGCCCGAGTTGCCCGCGCCGCCGGGGGACGCCCCGCGCCCTCCAGGAGGCCCTGAGCCAGTGCCAGGTACCCTGAGGCCTGCTCGCCGCGCCCGGGAGCCACCTCTGGCCTCCGCGCCCGCCGCTCGGCAGCCTCGGGCCGTCGCCGCTTCCTCAGCGCCTGGGCCTGCGCCAGCTCCTCCTGCCAGCACCGACGGAACTCCTCCAGGCTGTGGTCGTCCATCGTCGCCGCTCCGGGGGTCCAGGTTCTCTCAGCACCTCCAGGTGCCACGGGACAGTCCCTCCGCCGGAAGCTTCCGCCGCGGCCGGAAACCACCGCAGGCGCGGCTCTTGAGTTCCGGGCGGACGGACACTTCCCCGCCACGCCCCCCGAGCGGCCAGTTGTTTGCGACACTGGGCAGCCGGGTGTTTGCGACGCCGGAGGCCAGAGTCTGGGTCCCGACACCTCACCCGGCTAGCTCTCCTGCCTGTGACTTTTGCCAAACTCAGACTGTGCGCCAAGCACTGTGCTTTCTTCAGCAAACGTGCACTGAGCGACTACTGTGTGCCAGGCACTGAGAATTCAGTATTTTAATCTGAAAAAAAAAAAATCCCTGCCGACTCAAGAGTTTGCATTTAAGTGGGAGGGGAGACTTTAAATCAGTGGTAGGTGTTATGAAAAAAAGAAGTAAGGGAATAAAATGATTGGCAAGGGGGCGGGATTAAGGTTTAAGGATAGTCAGTAAAGGGCTCTCTAAGGAGATGTCATTTAAACTAAAATCTAAATGAGGAGAGAAACCAGCCAAAGGAAGGTAAAATCGTGAGAGAGAGATTTTCAGAAGGAACTACAGGTCCAAGGGCCATAAGGTGGGAAAGGAATAGCATACGATGGCTTCGTCGTCCAATGTGTGTACCCTCTATTCTCTTAGATGTTTGTACCTTCTTCTATTCTCTTAGCAGGGAAGCCCCCCACACACTTGGTTAACTCCTACACATCTTTCATATCTCAACTCACACCTCACTTGATGTTCTAACCCCCAGTCAAAAAAACATCAGGTCTGCCTGTTATTCATTCTCACAGCATCCTGTACCTCTCACCATAACACATAACACAATCTGCAATTTCATATTTATGTAATTATTTATAAATATCTCCCTTTCCTTCTAGGCTGTCCACTCTTAGCTTGGAGGCTGGTGATTACTAGATGCTCAATAAATATTTACTAAATGAATAACAACCCTTTAAGATGAGAGCTTTTGTTGTCCCCACATATCGGATGAGGAAACTGAGGCATAAAAATTCGAGGAACTTGTCCAAAATCATACAGCTGGTAATTTGCAGACCCAGAATTTTAATTTTTTAAAAACTCTGGACCTGACCTGTGAATCATGAAATCATACCGCCCATATGCCTAACCACAGGGCTGCCTCTAGTTACCGAGATTTTTTTTTTCAATGTGGTGATATTAATGGCCTGGCTCCGGCTCCATAGTCAAACACACAGATTTAGGTGGGAATCCAGCACCCTCGTTTACTCACATCCTCTTTCTTCCAGCAATTTCACTTCTAGGGATTTATGCAAAGAGAAGAAAATTGAGGATGGGTTCAAAGAATACTTGTGAGAATGTTCACTGAAACAGTGTTTATACTACTGAGAATCAGAAGCAATCTAAATCTTCCACAGTGGGACATTGGTTAAATAACTTATGCCCCATGAGAATTTAAGAAAGATCATAACTAGGCGGCCAGCTCCGTGAGAGCAGAGGCCTGATCTATTTTGTTCATTGTTGTTTTCGGCACTCAGAACAGCGCCTGGGACATAGTAGCTGCTCAGTATGTCATGAATGAATAAATGAACTACTGGGCGGCTATTAAATATTACGTTGGAGAAGAAAATTTAATCACACGGAAAGAATTTCACATTATAACGATTAAAAAAATTCAGGATACATAACAGTATCTACAGTATGATCCCTGTTGTATTAAAAAAAAAAAGTGGGTGTGTGTGCATTTTAAAAGGAAGAATATACACCCAGATCTGATCAGAAGAAGTTTCTAGAGAAAGTAAGATTATAGGTGGTTTTAGTGGGTTTTTTTTCTTTATCTGTATGTTCTAACTTTTTATGGTGAATGTTGTCCCAGCCTGGGTTCCCCCAGAACATGCACCCCTGAGCCCTGGATTTGCAGGCAGCTAGTTTGTTTGGAAAAGTGATCTTTAGGGAAGAGTCAGAGATTGAGAAGAGTAAAATAGGGAAAGAAAGACAGTTAATCCAAAAAGCATTCTTTTTTTTTTTTTTGAAACAGAGTCTCACTTTGTTGCCCAGGCTAGAGTGCCGTGGCATCAGCCTAGCTCACAGCAACCTCAAACTCCTGGGCTCAAGCGATCCTCTTGCCTCAGCCTCCCAAGTAGCTGGGAATACAGGCATGCGCCACCATGCCCGGCTAATTTTTTCTATATATATTGGTTGGCCAATTAGTTTCTTTCTATTTATAGTAGAGACAGGGTCTCACTCTTGCTCAGACTGGTTTACAAACTCCTGACTTCAAGCAATCCGCCCTCCTCAGCCTCCCAGAGTGCTAGGATTCCAGGAGTGAGCCACCGTGCTAGGCCTTCAAAAAGTATTCTTTATTGGTCCTACTGTGGGCAATTTAGGTTCTGTCCCACTAGGCCCTTTTAAGAAGCCTTAAAGAACACACCTGGGAATTGTCCTCTTAAGAGATAAGAGCTAAAAGAAGGGAGTGTTTACCAGCTGAAGTTTTAACAACCTCCTACTTCTTCTTGATGCGGACCTATGTTCTCACCCTTAAAGAACTTGAGAGCCTGCTTGCTGTTGGGGACCTTGAACAGCTCCAAGGTGTACCACTTATATGGGGACAAAGACACACACCCCTGGGATCATGTCCTGCATGAACTGTGTGTGCTATGCAGTGGCAGTAGCCGTGCCTGGGCTTGCTCACATTCTTGGTCACTTCGTGGCTTTTGTTGAGACCTACAGCTATGGGGTAGCCATGGCTGCTGCCAAATAAATATTCTTTTTGTAATAAAAATAAAAACATCAAAAAAAAAAAAACAATGAGCTTTTTCCCTCCAGACATTCAGCTAACATCCCATGCATCCTACATGCTTTCCATATGGAATCCAAGGGTGAGTCAGACTTGCTTTGATTATTTACATGTGAGTCAAAAGCCAAATATGGCTCTTCTGATATTTCTAGAATTTATGGAACATCTAATATTTAAAACAAAAAGCTAACTGGAGGCCAGGCATGGTGGCTCATGCCTGTAATCCTAGCACCTCTTGGGAAGCCGAGGCAGGAGGATCCCTTGAGGCCAGGAGTTCAAGACCAGCCTGAACAAGAGCAAACCCTATCTCTACTTAAATTAAAAAAAAATTTTTTTAAATAAAGCAAACTGGAAAAATATTGTCTTTTTCTCAGTATTGCCCACCATTCACAGACAATATTTTTGTTGATTTTATATTTTTCCAATAGTAAATTCCTGAGCCCCATTTCCTCAAATGAAAAGTAAAGATAAAAATATCTTCCCTTCAGAGTGACTGTGAGGCTGATGAAATGCCCGTGAAACTCTTAGTATCCTAAAGCATGAAGGAGGCATTCAATAATGATAGCTTTGATCCATAGTAATACAGTCTCGGCAGATAGAGATTGTGTCTAATCTAGGAGCTGCAAGTCTGGTGTTCCACAAGCTTCATCTTTTTCCATATTGAGGGTGTTCCTTGCAAGCTCCATCTATTAAAGTTCTTTACTTGCAAGCAATAGTCACCAAGTCTTGCTACCTTAAGAAAAAAGGAATTGAACTTGGAGAATTGGCTCACAAAGTTAAAAAGAAGAATAACCAGACTCTTGGAATGCCAACATCCAGATCAGATTCAGGGATTTCATCATCGGAATTTATGAACCATCTCTGTAGGAGGAGCTTGCTGCCTATATTCCATCTTCTGGGATTCAAATTCCCAGACCAGCAATATTACAGAACTTGTTTGGAATACAAATTCTCAGCCCAGACTACTAAATCAGAAACTCCTGGGGTCCAACCCTAACAATCTGTGTTTTAACAATCTCTCTAGGCTATTGTGATGCACAATCCAGTTTGAGAATCACTCTTGTAGGATCACCTGAAAGGCCTAATTGAGTGATAGTCCTTGATTGGGGGTGGGGTGGGGAGTTGTTTACAATGGGCTGGATTTCCAGGTCCACCTGAAGTGAGGGAGTTCCCCAAAACAGAAGAAGAGGGAAGGTATGTAGGGCCAAAACTACAACATCTACAAGGCTTTCCTAGGAGGGGGACTCTTGAAATTCAGTCTCAGTGTCTGCCCATTGTTAATATGTGGTGTATTCCCCTGGGAACCCCAGCTCAGCTTCTGCTGGAGCCCCAGAAAGATGGCGGAAACATGGCCGTCCTCCTTCCCCAAGTACCTCCTAGCATACCCATCTATCTTCCTCAGACCAGCCACACACTGGACTACAAAGCTATTAAGAACTCCTTTACTTCCGAGTCTGGTAGTTCTCAAAAAGATAGAGAGGGTGGGGCCAAGAGCAGAGATTATTAATTGATCTGTTCTCATGTACAAGGTAAGAAAAATGTACCAGTCTTCTACTGCTACTGTAACAGATTGATTTAAAGCAACACACAATTATTCTCATACAGTTCTGGGCCAGAAGTCCAAAATCCAGTTTCACAGGGCTGAAATTAAGGTGTCGGCAGAGCCATACTCCAGGGGAGAATCTGTTTTCTTGCCTTTTCCTGCTTTTAGCACTGCATTCTTTGCATTCCTTGACCCCTGGTCCCTTCCTCCAACTTCAAAGCCAGCAGTGAAGCATCTTGTTTCAGTGGTCACATGGCTTTCTGTCCCTGTGTCCAATCTCCCTCTTATAAGAATACTTGTGATTACAAAGGGCTTATCTGGGATGATCTCTCCATCTCAAGATCCTTAATTGAGTCACATATAGTTTACAGTGATGCTTCCTTAGCTCTTGTGAGCAGACTGGAAGATCGCACCTCATTTGGGATCACTAATGTGTGAAGAACACCAGAAAATTAATATGAAAATGAATACAAGAAATGGTGATGATTTTAAAGTACAGCGTCTAGAAAGATGAACAAAACATCAGAATGATCTACGTAGCCATTCTGAATATCAGCATTACCCTGATGCATTCATTGCTATAGGTATTACTATGCTCTGTTGCTGTTTTATGCTTTCATATCAGCAAAATGTAAAATTCTGCAAAAAAAAAAAAAAAACACCTTTCGGCTTTAAAAAAAAAAAGCAAAATGATCTGTAGCGAAAAAAAATTAAAAAAAAAAC